TAGTAGCAAAACTGTATTTGAAATTGATACATTTATGGCAAGTAATGTCGGCCATGGTCATTTATATCAATATAATTAAGCGTATTTTGAAACACGATCGAGATTAATGTTACCTTATTTAACTAAAACCGTATGTGGTCGTTTTATATAGCTACTTTATTTCGTTCTGAACATGACTGTTCCATTGCTTGCCCCAGGAAGTCCGTATTGATGCTGCATATATATACTGGAAACCCATTTCACACACATGTACTGACTATGCGAGGTATCGAAACTTGTGCTTGGCTTCCCTTATCGATATAAAGTTAACAGTATTTTGCGTATGTATTTGACAGCGGGTTGGTTGCCCACTCCTGTCGCTCATAGTATACAAAATATAATATTCTGTTTGAAATGACCCCTTTTCAGGACATCTGAAATTAAGGTCGGGGGGCTGGCAGTAATTCTAACATGTTCGAGAGTCTTGCTCGCCCATTTCGTGCTGTACAGGCGGATACACCGACCTCCCAATCCACGGTGCATTGTTCACTGGAGGCGCGGGTTAATTTAATTTCAAGAAAAAAATATTTTGAACTTAAAAAGCCTGGCCAATTGACCTGATTTGAACTCCTGAGGATTCGCCGCTGGACGCCTCCTCATCATGTCATCTCAACATTCATAATATTAGCCTATAGAATGTAGATTCTGATTGCTGATTAAACTAAAAAAAACTCAAAAAGCTTGAAGCTGATTACTTACCCCGCCAGAGAGGGCTGTAGGAGAATACAACCGTAACCAGAAAACGGAAAACTTCGATTATCATTGTCCTTGTTATCCTTTGGACTTCGGCCGTGGTACCAGTGTAACATTTCAGTGCCAGCAGTTGGCCGTTAATTTGAATAACATAAGAGCCGGGCTTAATTACTCTTGTTTGGTACGGAATGGGGCTTGTAATATCCGTAGTGATACAGAGCTTTGTGTAAGTTTATAAGCTCATTTCGTTTTGTTTCAATCGGTTTATTTCTTTTTCCCCTCCATCATCCTGCAAACCTTTGCTTCGTCCTCGACTCCACGGAAGTACGCGGAAAGAATTTGTTGGTTCATACGTTGTTTGGCCGGCGATTGTACAGTTTAGGATGTCACATAATCATAAGTGCTGAGTTAACACGTAGCTAGTCGACCGATAGTTTGTACACATTACAGCCCAGCGTGTAAATATCCGATATGAAATCTCATTCCTTCTCGGTTAATGGATTTGATGGAAGCTTTTCCGACAGCATGGCGCCTATCGCTTTGAGGTTCCGCAACCCTTTGAGCAGTCCTTATGTTGAAATAACTTCTTGCCCTGTAAATAATTACACAACCGTTTGGTTTGAAGGATAAGTCCTTTAATTACCCGCTACGTTGAAAGATACTTTATGTATCTGTCAACACGATTTCGTTCCCTCAGGTTGGGGGAGTCTCAAATCTGAGACAGTAAAATGTGGCCATGAGTCCCGCTAGACTCGGACCTGAGAATGACTACACTGGCGAGGACCAGCAGCAATTGTAAACGACAGACCCATCTTCTTGTCAGACAGGATGTTACGTAATGACTATAACAACTAGTATTCCGTTGGAAAATAAAATTACTGGTCGTGAGTCTCGAGGGACCTCCAGACTCTGACTCAGAAGCAAAGTAGACAGAGTAGCAGGGAGTGTAGAACAGTAGTCGAGTCGAGTTGAGTCTTCGGAAATGACAGCTGCAGAAATGGCAAGAAAGGAATTAGATTGTGCCAAGAGGGCTTCATGTACGAGTTGAAGTTACGGTGAGACTTTACTAAATCCGTTGCCAGGATACGACTAGTGAAGGCTGAGAACCCTAGTGTACGCGCAGCGGTGAACTGTAAAGCGCGTAGAATAGCGATAGCGATGTTTTTTCTATAGCCCCTCGTTCGTACTAAATCCGTTGCAAGGATACGACTAGTGAATGCTGAGAACCCTAGTGTACGCGCAGCGGTGAACTGTAAAGCACGTAGAATAGCGATAGCGATGTTTTTTTCTGTAGCCCCTCGTTCGTACTAAATCCGTTGCCAGGATACGACTAGTGAAGGCTGAGAACCCTAGTGTACGCGCAGCGGTGAACTGTAAAGCGTGTAGAATAGCGATAGCGATGTTTTTTTTTCTGTAGCCTCGCGTTCGTACTAAATCCGTTGCCAGGATACGACTAGTGAAGGCTGAGAACCCTAGTGTACGCGCAGCGGTGAACTGTAAAGCGTGTAGAATAGCGATAGCGATGTTTTTTTTTGTAGCCCCGCGTTCTGTGTGAATGTATAAGGCGCAGTAAATGCAATCATCAGCCCAGAACCCATCTCACAAGTCACCCATTCACATGACAGTATTTAAACCTAAGCATGGATCGCCCTAATATGTTTATCTACTTTCCAGACTAATTTCAGTTGTTTACATAATTTCCTTTGTGTGTAGCAGGCCCAATATTCGTGGTAACAAGCTGCTTCCAAAAGAAAAATGCTCTTTTATTTGGAAATTATCTTGAATTAGCATAAAGGCCGTTGGGATTTCAACGGATTGTGTTTATCAACAAGAATAATTCGTCACACGTTTCTTAGTTTACTGTGATGTACCCGTATTACTTGTTTAACCCTCACGGGCTACTCAGTTCACCGTTTCACTTAATATGCACGATATGAACATTTTTTATTTGAAATTTAATAACCCTGTCGGTATTTAGGCCATACGAGGGGGTACCCAAAAGAAACCGAACTTATTTTTTTTAAACTTATTTATTCAAATTTAAAGCACAAACCTTCAAACCCCTTCAAAGTACTCTCCACTTACACTAATACACTTGTCTATTCTTTTATTCCATTTTTCAAAACATTGTCTAAATTCATCTTTTGAGATGCTTGACAGCGCCTCCGTCGTTTTTTTCCTTCACCTCAGCAACATCAGCAAAACGCTGAAAAAAAGTTTTGATCATTTCGGGACTCTTCTTTCAAAGCACAGCATGCTTCCACGCGACCTTGTTTTTGTTCAGCAGTCAGCAGTCGTGGCACGAATTTCGCAGCCACCCTTTTCATTCCCAAATCTTCTGTCAAAATTCGCTGAACTGAGCTCCAAGTCACTCCCGACAGCTCCACAATTTCTTCAATGGTCCGTCGTCGATTTTCCTTGATGATTTCACGAATTTTTTCAACATTTTCATGTGTTCGGGCCATTGCAAAAACGACGATCACACAAAACAGTTGTCACTATAAACTCTGCCGAAACTAGTCCTTACCTTCTGTAGCAACGGTAGTCGGCTTATCGACTCAGGAATGTTAGCTCTATGCGCTCATAGCGGCAAAACGCGGTACTACAAAAGCTCTGCCCACAAAAAAAATTAGTTCGGTTTCTTTTGGGTACCCCATCGTATAGCGTCAGCCCATGAACTTCTGAAGTTCAATATCATTTGACCGATGCACGGCCAACGGATTCATCGAAAGTGATTTATTTGGTGTATTGTTATATGGGCCGGTCACGGTAACCGAGCTGTCTAAGGCATGTACTGTCTTCGCTCACTCGGAAACCGGGATCGGGGTTCGAGTCCCACTCAGGACACGGATGTTCAGTGTTTGTGTGTGTGCGTGCGTTTTTCTGTGTTTGTGTACAGGTAGAGGCCTTGCGACGAGCTGATCACCCGCCCAAGGAGTCCTACCGAATGTCTAAGATCTGGTAAACCGAAGTGAAACGGAGAGTTTCATGGAGGTATGCCAAGGCCCAAATTAGGGATGTAGCCCCAAGGGGGAAAAAATGTTATGTCGATTTATCCGGTATTAAATACAACAGTCTACAGGTAGGAAAGTTCATTCATTGTGAAGGTAAATTGATAAAAAATTTGTAGAACTGGGATTTTTTTTTCGGTATTAACATTGCGGGGCTGGTTCCTAACCCCAGGGTACGAGTTGCATTTTTAATTTTTCTAAAGTGGTGGCTGAGACATGCCAACGCTGAGGAACGTATTAATAAGATGCTTATGGATCGAAGGTTATTTTATTACCAATCGTTATGTGTCAGTACCCCGTACTTGGCTGAAGTTTCTGGAAGCTAGAAGTGTCTGCCTCGTCCTGTTATCGACGTTAACATTCCTTTTCGCCCGTGGTCTGCTTACCTCAGCACTACTTGAACTTCAAGAAGGCGTGTAGATTTATCTTGAGGCTGTAGCGAAGAGAAGCATACATTCGATGTGCAGTCAGACATCACCTAACGATTTTTGTTATTTGAGCAATTTCATAGTTATTCTTTATGCAGACGTTTCATTTATATTTTATCCGCACAGAAAAGCGATTTTTTTTTGCACCAGTCTGCACAAATGAAAACTACTCCACTCATCTGTCTATGTACCTGCTAAACACCATTTCTGCTTTTCGCTATCTATCAATTAAAACTCATACAAATATCTGTTCTATAGGCTATTCCTATCAGATCTATTAATGATATAAGTGTACTGTCCCCATTCGTGGTAGCGTAGTTGGTTGAGGCATTGTGCTACAAGCAGGAAGGTCGCGGGTTCGAGTCCCGATGGGGTGTTTTTTTTTCAATTGGACCTAATCCTTCCAGCCACAATATGACCCTGGGGTCGACTCAGCGTCTAGTCGAAAGGAGTACCAGGAATTTTCCTGGGGGGGTAAAGTATGGCCGGCCCGTAAGGCCTACAACCTTACCGCCATTTGTGAGCCGATTGTCTAGCTAGATAATGTGGGAGCCTCAGTGCCTCACACCCTATGGGCCTCCATGGCTTGTTACAGGGATATCTTTACCTTTACTGTCCCCATTGGTATAGATCAGGAACGAAGTATTGTAAACACAATCCAGTAGCTAAGTACGTGGTCACAGTAGTGACAAAATTGACATTTTATGTAAGTTGACCACCCGTTTCAGTTGACCAGGTTTGGTTGGATCCACACGAGGCCAACACAGGTCTCACTGTAGACAATTTTGAAATTACTGTTGTGGAAGTATACGTGTCTTTTGTTCTGCAGGAGTTTGCGACGCTGACCAAGGAACTGAACCAAGCGCGGGAACACTTGTTGGAGCGAGAGGAAGAGATCGCGGAGCTCAAGGCGGAACGCAACAATACTCGGGTAAGTCTGAAGCAGCCGTCTTTATCTCCGAGACTCTCCGCGTCTTCATCCCGAGACTGTTGTATCGCTGTATGCATGTCCCAAGCAGCCGCCTTTATCTCCGAGACTCTCCGCGTCTTCATCCCGAGACTGTTGTATCGCTGTATGCATGTCCCAAGCAGCCGTCTTTATCTCCGACACTCTCCGCGTCTCCATCCCGAGACTGTTGTATCGCTGTATGCATGTCCCATCCCACCTTCCTCTCCCGTGTTTCATGTCCCGCCTTTAGCTTACCACCTGCTATTGAGCTGAAAGTAGCAGCGGGCTACTGGTTGGACGGACGAGGAATTGTAATTCAATTCCCGGCAGAAGAAAGAGATTTTTCTCTTGTCCGGAGGGTTCAGACTGGCTGCTGGGCCCACCCAACCTCTAGTGCTGTGGGTCCCACTGACCACTCGTCTCCATCTAGTGCCGAGGTTACGAAATGTGGAGGTACACCCCTACCCCTTACGTCTTCATGACGTTGTGCTTAATTAATTAAACACAAAGAAAACTTCACCTTTTTACCATTATCTTACCGTGTTCTTGCTAGTCACGGTAGCGGAGCGGTCTAAGGCATGAACTGTCTTCTCTCGCTCGGAAGCCGCGATCGTGGGTTCGAATCCCACACAAGGCATGGATGTGTGTTATGTATGTGTGTTTATTCTGTGTTTGTGTTGTCCAGTGTTTAGGTAGAGGTCTTGCGACGAGCTGATCGCCCGTCCAAGGAGTCCTACCGTCTGTAAAAAGATTAAAAGAAAAGCAACCTGGACACCGTAAGGCATAATAGGAACGGATTAAGTAAGTTACCATGTTCTGAAAATTCCTGATCCGTGTTCTTTCTTTAGAGAAAGGGAGGGGGTGTTTCGCCCATGTGAGATAACTTGTGAGGTTCAAGAGGTTGATGTTTTGTACTGCTAAGTTAAATTTAATTTTACATATTGTTCTTGTTCTCATAATATTGTATGCATTTAATTGCACCAGGTTTTCTTCCGAAGACCGTTTAAAAAGAGGCTGCTATTTTTTTTTTTAAATAATCAAATTATGAAAGCGAACGTTTTGACTTCTCTGGTCTAAGTAATCGCATCCAGATATTTATTTATTTACTTATTTCCAGTGCAGGGGCCAGTTGCCCGGAATGGCCTTGAGGATCCGTTGCGCTGACCACGTGACACCCTCTACCTAACACAGACACAGAATAAACACATACATATACATACATGCCTTGAGTGGGATTCGAACCCACGATCCCAGTGTTCGAACGGGCGAAGACATTTCATGCCTTAGACCGCGCGGCCATTGAGATCGGCTCACCAAATATTACTGGGTGATAAATCCAAGGAGGATGAGATTGATCGGTCATGTAGTACGCTTAGGAAAGATCAGAAAAGTGAACAAAATTTTAATCGGAAAATCCGGAAGAAAAATATCGCTTTCAGGCCTTAAATATAAATGTAAGTGTAGCCTAATATGAAAGTAGACCTTGAGATAATAGGGTGTGAGTATGTGAACTGAGTTCATCTGTCTCAGGATGGGATTCAACGGTGGGTTCTTGTGATCACGGTAATGAAACTTCGGGTTCCGTAAGCCGCGAGTAATTTCGTGAGCTAGTTGATGGTCCATTGTCTTCTCAAGAAGGACTTTGAAACGTGGAGTTAGCTTTCCATGTCTGTATGTTGTGCATTGGTAAAATGTTTAAATTCTTCAAATGCGGAACAAATGCATTTTCTGAGATCACAGATATAAACATAGATGGACATGAGATGAAAGTAATTGTTTTCTTGACTTAAATCCCTTCATACTTGCATTGAATGTTCTTTTAAAAAGTCATTTATTTATACCGAATATTGAATACCTACTTACTTACTTAATTATGGAGTGAGTCCTTCTTGAGGAGAAGCCAAATCTGCAGCTACTCAAGAAAATCCCAGCATTTTATGGAACCCGAAGGTTCATTACCGTGTTCACAAGAGCCCTCCGCTTGTCCATATCCTGAGCCAGATCAATCCATCCCATCCCACCCTGTTTCTCTTAAGATCCATTTTAATATTGTCCACCCACCTGCGCCTTTGTCTTCCCAGTGGTCTTTTTCCGTCTGGCTCCCACCAATATGCATTTCTCCTCTCCCCCATTCGTGCTACATGCCGTGCCCACCTCATCCTTCATTGAATGCCTTATAACTTTGAAATAAGAGGATGAGACCGTAGCATTAAGTTCCCAGCAGTTAGGAAACTGGTACCCTTTCGGGCGTAAGAGGTAACCTGTGTGTGACTCTGTAACTAGTAACCATATATTACACGAAGGAATCAAAGCACTGCTTTTATTTCATACATGAAGTGCTGTATTAATTTATTCATACTGTATTATTATTATTTACCGCAATTGGGTGTTCACCCGGTGGCAGTAGAACTTATACTGGTACAGACAAGCAAAGTCTATAACATAAGGGAACAAACCCCCCAGAATTCGAGGTTTATTTCAGATCTGTAGTTCCCAACTGTTAATTTACATTTCTCCCATTAACTGAATGGGTTAATCTACCGTCTGGTTAAGGTAGCTTCAAGTACTTCTGGTTTGTTACGTCTTCTTGCAATATTTGTATCGAGTAGGTTGGTCTTGTGATGGCTGTGTTGGTGTATTCCTAAATCTCAATCACTCTTGTCTGGGCGTTTCATTATTTTCTGCAGGTGAATTCTGGGACACTACCTCGAAATATGTAAGTTTTAACTCTGTACAAAAATTCTTACGACTTACGACAATCTCTCATTCAGCGGTCTGTGTCTGCTGTGACATGCGTCAAGACACGTTATCTGCGACATGATGCAAAGAAAGGAACACAGTGGAAACGAATGAAATTATGATATGAGTCATGATGCTGACGTCAACTTCATACTTACGAATCACGAATGAAACATTTGTCTCATGTCTTGATGCTTGTCTTGACGTATTTGGTCTGCGGCCTTCCTTAGACTCTGTCGCGAACTGCTATCCTGGTCGAGTGTTTCCGATTTTATTTCTAGCTTCGAGATAAATGTCTCGAAAGGACCTTCAAATATGCCAACAGTCCCTTAGCAATGGCAGTTGTTTCATCTTCTTATTTCTTTTTCTAAGCAGGCTCCTTCTGATTCATTCTCGTTATCACGGCACAAAACTTGGAAGTCCAGTCATCATTTAACGAACTCGCTACCTGCGAAGTGATTGTAGTATTATACCCCCCTCATTGGTCGAATTATTCTTCACAAGTCTTTCATGATTCACCATGTGCTTCTCCTTCCATTTTCAGTTGCTGTTGTCCGCATTTTGGATGATGACTTCCTGTTTATGATCTGTTCAGTCTGTTTAGTATCGATCTGTGAACATAATTCAGTTGAATGAATATATACATAAATATACTTATCGTGATGTTTTATGGCCATTTGTTGGGCATTTTATATTTATTCCGCTGAGAGCTAGACAACATTGAAATGCGCATAAAGGATGTTTTCTTGCATTTCATCAAATGTAAACTCTGTCATTTTGTTCTTTGCAATGAACGGTTTGGGTGAAATATAATACAAGTCTGAGCGCCTCTGCATACGTCCAAATAAAGTGAAGAGTTATCGGACCGATCTGGACAAAAGTACCCCCCATACGAAATTTAGTCTAAATCCATTAAGACGGAACACGCGTACAGGCATTCGTATGCTTTATATAGGCCTATCGCGTGAAAAGACTTAAATGTCAAAGCGTGCTAACATTACCTTGTTTTATTTCTCATGTCTGGGATACACGTCACCGAAACTGATAGTACAGTCTATTGTTGTCATGTTCTTGACGCATAGAGATGGATGTAACTGAATTGGGCAAAATTTTCAACACCTTGCGGACCAGTGTTAGTTGTCATGTGACGCCACAAGGCGACTCACTGCAGGGGGCAAACCGCTAATTGGTAGAGAGGTCAATTCAATTGTATGTCCGACTGAGCCCCTGCAGACGCCTAATTATGGTCAGCTTCTACCATGTTTGCTCAGTTCATGTTTAGGTTGTGTGTGTGTGTGTGTGTGAGAGAGAGAGAGAGAGAGGGCTAATGAGTGGGACAGAGTGTGAATGCAGTTTGCCTCTCCCGTATGTCCTGGGTGCAAACTGGTGAAGTTTCATGGAAAGTTTTGGTTTCCGAGCATAAAATTTGGACACTTTCAAATGACTAAAAATGTTCTGTTTCAACTTGGGGTACTGGCAATCCTTAATTTTTTGTATGTGTGATTTTCCTCAGTCCCTCCAGATGAATGCCGGGATAATACATTAGACCTCGTTCTTCCAAATGTATTTCGTTTCGTAATGCATCAGTCCCTTCATAATTAGATAAATCCATATTTTACATTCTTAAATAAGAATATCCCTTCGCTTAATTGAGCACCATGAAATTATGGCCTGCGGGAGTGGAGATGTAACTACACATTCTTAATTAGTAAAAAAAAGTAAAAGGTAAAGCTATCCCTGTAACAGGCCGTGAAGGCTCATAGGGTTGTGAGACGCTGAGGGTCCCACATTACCTTGGCAATCGGCTCAAAGATGGCGGTTAGGTTGTCAGCCTTACACGCCGGCCGAGCTTTACTCCCAACGAAAATTATTTAATTAATTCCTGGTACTCATTTCTGTTAGAGGCTGAGTCGACCCCAGGGTCATAGTGCGGCTGGAAGGATTAGATCAATTGAAAAAATCCAGTGACCTCATCGGGACTTGAACCCGCGACCAGCTTATAGCGTAGTGCCTCAACCAACTACGCTACCGCGTGCCCCCATACATCAGCACTAAACTGAGATGAGTAGTCGGCCTCTCAGTGCTTTCTTAAGTCATGTGGAAGAGGCTTCTGTCCCCGTATTGATAGGCTTGGGTGGGCTCCAGAACAGGTCTGAACACGGCGACGAAGGAAAATAAACCAACCTTTGCCGGGAATCGAAGTCCTATTGCAGTGTTAACTCAGAACGCGAGATTGGGTCTTG